ATATATATATACACACACACACACACACACATACATACATACATACATACATACATACACACACACACACACACATACATACATACATACATACATACACACACACAGTCACCATATGAGCTCCACCAAAGCAGTGACGTTTTAGTAACAAGGGAACAGGGATGTTGCAGCAGAACAACAGTAACAGAGGAATCTGGCAACAGAAAAGTGATCAAGCCATGAGAGAAGGACACAGCCTGAGACGATGCCAGGGAAGGTGACCGGCCCTGGAGGGATGTGAACAATGGCAGGAAAGGCTCAGCTCCACCTCCGACAGGCACCTTCTAAGAGGAGCGTTTAGACAGACGAATCCCACACTGGAAGTTTGAACAGAAGGCCCTGCAGCTCAGGACTCTCCTGAGTCTCCTTATTCACCTTGCATGTCCGGGTTGAACACAAGCCATCACGTATGCAGACTCACAACTCAACAGCTTGGCGTGTCCCCTGCTGCTCTAGCTAACGTGGCACTGGGAACACTGTGAATGCGCACTCGGTGTGATTCACTGAAATTTAGCGTCACGCCTCCCAAAGGTAACGTGCAGGATTCAGATGCTCCGTCCTGAGACTCGTGCTAAAAGCCTGATTGCTCGTAGAGGATACGGGGAGCGAAACTCAAGGACGACGGTGGGCACGGATCCAAAGCACGCCCGACAATACCGGCAAAGGCGGAAATATGACAGCTGTCCCCTGGCAGGCTGTCGCTAATGAACATGACTTTGGGGACGTCGTGTTGTGGGAATGAGAGCTTGTGCATATGAGGCTCGTTTGACACGGGAACAGAGAGCTCAATGATAAACGGTGGAACTGAGAAATAATAATAATAAAAAAAAGAACAAGCACAAGTTATTTCAAAGGCTCCCCGCTTTAGTCAGTAATGCAGATTTACGAAGGACTGCAGCACGAAGAATGAGCAGACTGAACACAAGGACGGGGGGAGGGGAATCATGACGGGAAAGAGAGAAAAGCACCCCCTGTACGGGGAGGACAAACAGCGGCACTGGAGGACGACCACATGCCTGGAAGCCAAGTGTGTCCTTAACAATGATCTTATGACCGAGGTTCCATTCCAGGCTATGTGATGGACACGTCGTCATGGGAAATGCAATGAGCTGATGCCTGTGGCTGCGGAGCTTTACGTTTTTGGGTTACGGATGCTTGCCTCGTGGTAGCTCCGCACTGCGTTGCAGAAGGCCTCATCTGCCATGATCTGCGTCTCCCCGTTCAGGAAGGCCTGGAAGCGATCCCGCAAGGCCTGCAGCTGCTGCTTGTGGAGCTGCAGGAGAGACAGAGGGGGCAGAAAAGGAGCAGAGAACGGACATTTATTTTAGCAAGCAGCAATTCACTTAAAGTGCCCGAAACAGAAGACAGTGGCTGTTCTTTTTGGGGAGGGATAAGCTGCTTTCCTAACCGCCCGCCACAGACTGTTAATGTGCTCGACTGTAACCCAACCTTTCATCTGCCATTATTTTGACATCCACATGATAACTGAAGTGTTTGGCAGCTCATCTTAGTGATAAAGCTTGCTGAATTTGAATGTTGAGTGATCGAGAGATAGTGAGAGGGGTTTGCCATACAGACCATAAGGCCGGCACACTCAGGATAGAGAAGAGCACAAACCTCTTAATTCACCAAAAGCGACTAGCGGAACTGACCGACCCTCTCATTATCTCCACCCACACAGATAGCTTCAGTCTTTTAGGTTCCTATTGTTGTTCTAAGTTTGAAACAGACCAAATGTTTGAAACAGGCAAATGTCGCAAGCCAGATGGACAAGAAGAAAAACAAAAGTTTGTGAACCCTTCATAATTATCCGGAGTTCTGCAATAATTATTTGTGAAATGTAGTCTGATCTTCACCTTAAACAGAAAATTTGACAAATACAACTTGCTTTAAGCTTTCATGTATTGAAGAAGCTGTTTGAACATTCACAGTCCAGACTTAAAAACATAGTAGAATATCTGAACCTCTAAAATTCAAGAGGTCATTATCCGGGGGGTTCACATACATTTACTATGTCTTTGATTATTAAAATAATTTGTCCAACAAAGATATAAATGTTTAAAATGCTGGGTTTGTTGGTTACAAAGAAAGTCTGTCATTTATTATTATGACTTAGCTAGAGATGATGCCATATTTTAGCAGTCATTCATGCCGAAAGCAGCACAATCCCAAAGGGTCCACAAACTTTTGCTTGAAGCAGTATCGTGGAAGGTAGCCATCTTGCTACATTGTAATGCAGGACAACAACATTAAGGAAGAAATCCCAATAAAAGCAAAGGCAGCAGAATATCACACGTAGCCTTGTGAATTACGTCAAGTGAACCTCTTGACTTTGTCATTAACCATTGGCATGTTGATTGAATAGACGCCGTCCTTCACCAGAACGAGGCCCTGGGTCACGGTAGACATCGAGAAAACCATTTTCAAGTCGTGCAGGTTTGTCGAAGAAAGATCCCATAATTTTTATTTCTCATTGCATATGCATGACCAGACGCAATGCAGAATATGAAGACTGCTGGGTTTTTTTAATCTCCAGTGGCACTGGAAGCTGTTTACGTAATTAAAAGTCACATTACAATTTTTGCCATCATAATGCAAGCAATGACTTATCTAAGTCTCCCAGTCCCTGGTGAGAGAAATATTGTCAAATGTGTTTTCATTCTGTTTGAAGCGACATGTTTGTTCATCCCTTAGATGAGTGGCCTTTCTATGCGAGGAAGAGAGCAGAGACTCTTTCATCCCCTCTTCCAAACACTACAGGCATAATAAGGTACTTTTCAAACCCTGACCCTGTTAAGTCACTGCACTCCCGAGTCGTCTTGTGAAATTTCCCAGCCTGTAGGTGAGACTTGCCGGCTCCCGGAAGACTTTATGAACTTTGATGTTTTTTTTTTTTGTCTGGATGTTTCTATGACTGGGGAGACAGAGAAGCCACCACTAGGCCAGTAGCTTCACAATATACTCACACCAATTAATCACAAATGACAAGCCCCCACCCATTTCCATGATAAGCAGAAGCCTTTCCAACAGAGACAATAGTTTCTGACTGGTGGGCAGATCTTCCCTGGATTTTTAGGCTCTGGATATACAAGGAAGGGGAAGAGAATCATGGCTGATAAGCTATTTCCACAGCAGGACTGTAATTTCATCACGATGGCAGAAAAACTGACAGTGTCTTTTATGGCAAGAATGGGAAATGCGGTGGCGAGTGATTTAGCATGTGTCCCCATTCCCCCTGTCCCCCCGGCCCCCCCGTGCACGAACTCGAGGATAAATCAGCCCCCGCCAAATGTGACAGAGGGGTACCGGTTAACTTGAACAAGTGGCACCTATCTGTCTGCTGAACCACTTTTGTCCCCCTAAAAGGATCATCCGTCAGGAATTACCGAAAGTAAACAATGCGGTGAGTCATACTGCCCCTCCCCCCTCGAAAGTCGAGTGTTTGAAAGTCAGACAGGCGGCAGACACTAGTGCTTCTGGCACGGGGCACAGCGCACGAAGACACGTCCGATGGCCGCGACGCCCCGCAGAGGATTACAAGTGTGTGTCACCTGACCCCCAAATCCCACAGCGGAATGGCCGGTAACATGAGGTATGGGGTCAAAGGTCATGCTGACTGCCCCTGATGACTGACTGACCTATGGTTCATCATACCGGGTCAAGCTAAAAACACAACAGGCTAACCAACCGTCACAGCCAACTACCCAAAACGGATATTGACGCCCGAAGCAGGTCACAGCACAACCTTTCCCTAAACAAGCCCATCAGGGTCATCACCTTCACGCGGGAGATGCAAACTGACGTCCAGATGCTCCTTTCCTGTCCGACACCCCTTATCATTTTCTCAGATATCTTTTTTGCACCATCTAGCACTCGTCTGAGATGTCTGGCAGAAGCACAACCAAGGTGAACAGGCACCTGAAGTTTCTGGTACCTCATTTCCAACAACGCAGTGCAGGAGCTGGTGCTGAACTTTTTCCCCAGTCCAAAACTGGTTCTGCACATTTCGGCCGCAAAAGACCCTGGACCAGAAACAACGGCTCCAGCACAGCACCACAGAAAAGCTGGTCTCACACTTGGGCACCGTAACGTCAGTGAAAGTGGGACGGGCTGTGGCATCCAAACCTCCCCAGAGGCGGAAAATTCAATACATAACTGCTATAGTTTAGTCTCATATTGGCGGTACTGGCAGTTTATTAGCAGAAAATCGTTATATATTTTTTTTTTATTTTGTAGGAAACAAAAGATTGATTTGCTGGTCAGATTTTGGTAATAAATTATAAATGTCACAGGTTAAATAACATATTGTGATGCTTGAGTGGCGAAGAGATCATGAAGTTGACAGCAAAGTTCCATTTTTAGCAGACTTTTATAGCACGATCCTTAAAGGGACAGCAGTGAAACAGCACGAGAATAAACTCACACAGACAGACTGAGGAGAGATACAGCTTTAAAGAGGCAAAAGCAGATACAGGCAATAGAGACAGAGCGCATCGGGTCATACTATGACGCTCAAAGGCTCATTTTTTTCAGCTTGGCAGCTTATAAAAACTTAAAATCTGAAGGAGACGAAAATAGATGCAAAAATGCAGAATTCATATCAACCTTTGCTTTACTCTCACTTCCACCTACGTAACATTTCTGTTCTGTTCTTTTTAGAAACCTGTGGAAACGTGGGCAGGTTCTCAAAAAGTACCAAGCAAGAACCATTCTGGCTCCACGTTGGTGCAAAAGAGATACTGGAAACCATCGCATACTCCTGAAACACCCTTACCAGGAGTTTGCCATCACGGATGAATAAGACTGCATCTTTGAGCTACAAGGCACGAGGAGGAGGAAAGCGAACTGCAACACATTAGGTGAAGCACGTAGCTCTGCGCAGTGACATGTGGAGGACGGTGTGACCCAGCGTCTTAAAAACACGCCTTTAACTGACCTCAGACACAAAAACCCTTTGCTGGAGAGGGGTTAAGAACATAGAGCACTGATATGACAGGGGCAGTGACAGGACAGAAGGCAGACCTCACTGAAACATGCACCTTCAGGAAAATGCAGGACCAACAAATTCTTCCTCTATAGACAGACAGCATCTCCTTGACCAATGTCTGGAGCCATTTCATCGTTGGGCAGAAGCAGGCGTCAGGTCTGCGTTTCCTCAGTCTCCTGATCCATCCAGAAGATCATCCTACGTATTCGTCCCCTAGAGCACATTTCCAGCCAATTAAAGGGCAGGGGGGGTGGTGCCAATGAGGATTTCAAGATTTAATTAAGTAACTGGCAGCTGCCTATTGGCATACAGACATGAGAATGTGGCGGTTAAGTGGGTAGAGGAATGGGGCTGGGTGGAGTAGGGGACAGTCCCCCCCTCCCGGTGACTTGCCAATTGTGCCTCTTCTGAAGCGTGGCATTGCCGAGGATCGTCATGACAACGTTGGATACCTCTCAGAAGACGTCAGTGCTGCTGGCCAGCGTTCTTATTGTCACAGCTCCTAGGGGACGCCACTCTCAGCAGGGCGTAACGCACCGCACGGCCTTCGGAGGGCGCGGACGCGGAGTAAATATCGCACACATTTACTAAGGAAACAGCACATGCAGAAGTTCAAGAATCCTTGCCATGTCTCTCCAGCCCGCATCTGCAGCTGACAGGTCAGCCCAAGCTGGTACTCAGGGTGAATGACGTTGGCGAGACACTGGCCACGATCGCCTGAGGTATAACAGAGCTGTCAGAACAAATCAGTCATGTGCTTGGTCAAGTCTGGGGGACCAAGACTGCTGAAAATACCTGAGAAGACCTACAAACACCACAGCCCTTGTGATATGACCAACACAGTGAATATCAGTCTAAGGTTATTGCTTTGTTTATAACACATTGTGTAGCTCCTGCTCCAGACCTGCTCACACTTGTACCTGTGCTTTCACCAGAAGCTCTGCTAACTTGCCTTTATGCAAAGTCGGCCCCTAGACTATGAATGTTTGCAATGTGCCGTTTGCCTCACTTGTACGTCGGCCAAATAAAAATAGATGAATTGAACTGAATGGAAAGTCAACATTCAATCAGACCGGGAGCTGAGAGGATGATCAGCCTTCATCTTATCGAAAATTACACCACTCAATAAAATAAGCTCATCCCCCATGCAACTCGGATCATTCCTTGAGTTGATCAGATATCCCTGCACTCGAGAGCAATTCAGCTTGACTGAAGATCAGTGGCTGTTGGGTGCGGCGTTCCCAAATGAGCGCTGTAGTGACTGGTACCGACGGACGATTTTCTCA